GATTTAGTGCCACATATCGTCCCACCATTCAGCCACGAACTGCTGTGAATACAGTCGAGCTCCCTGGGGGTAAGCAATGCTATCTGATCCTGGACGAACTCGGAGAGCTAGAGCCTGCAATCTTGGAGAATCAGGTCAAGCTTCTCGACCAGTGCGATGTCATTGTTTACACGTACGACTCTTCTGATCCCGATTCCTTTGCGTATATTCCAGCTCTGCGGGCCAAATATCCGCACTTGGAAGAGCTTGCGAGTGTGTTTGTTGCCCTTAAAGCGGACTTGGACCGAACCACCCAACGGGCGGAACATCAACCTCATGAGTACACGGCAATGCTGAATATGCCGAGTCCACCACTTCATGTCAGCGCTACGTGGAGTTCCATCCAAGAAGTGTTTGTTCATATCGCCGAGGCGGCTATGGAACCTAGCACGGCCTTCCCACGGAGTGAGGAGGATGTCGAGGGCAAATGGATGTCGTGGGGAATCGCACTGGGGGCGGTCGTCTGCGCGGGGGCAGCAGCGGTGATGATCTGGCGGAGAGTCAGTGGTAGTGGGGTCTGAGGGCGCTTCTTGTTTCCCAACACTGTAGCGATAGTTGTAAACCTAGATACCAGATACCCTTGATAATTTGCCTACCAGCCTGCTCCGCCTTTTTCTATTGATGCCCCAGGATATTGTGCGAAACCATGTACATCAATTGGAGCCTTTATGACTACAACGTAGATCAATTGAAAGCATCAAAAAGCATTGCAAAGCACCATTGGTGGTGAACCCCGCCGTGATCGGCTCGAGGACTTTCCGGCTACGTAGTCTCCTCATGCTAAAGTTGCCGGCCGGCCCCACGTGTGAATTTGCCTCTAACCGTGTGAATAATAGTCCTAAACTAACGTAAACTAACCCCGGAATAACAATGACCACCGGTTGGCTGCCCGTCAGCTCCAGCCTCCCCGTCCGTCCGTCTGCCTGTCGTCCGCCAGGCTTCCTTCCAAGTGACTTCCAAAGTTACTCTGGCTTCATTCCGACCTCTTCTTTCCCACGACACAAATCCAGCCGATTCGTGCCCGGAATTTCCCTCCCCCTCCCCTGTACCCTCTTGCCCTCCGCCCCCGAAGTCTATTTAAACTACCCAGGGACGCCCGCGGATTGCCCAAGTGTTTCGACCAATTTTCCTCCTCGGCCCAGCTACCTCTCTGCTACCGATTGTCGCCATCAGGACCTGCGATACTGGCTAAGCGCAAATCTAGCCCTGCCAGCATCCCCTTTATATAAACGATATCAGTATAAAGAGCCGCCCTGAGTGGCACCCGTCGCTGGTGCCGCTCTTGGGGGACTTATATCCAGCGTTGTCCATCCCGAAATCAACGATTGCCTGACTAGCCCGCCTATTGCTACATTCACTAAATTCGTGATATCACGCCCCGATTATATCATACCAACCCCGGAGGATCCTTGTATTCACCATCAATTGGTTCCCGTGGAGGCCCTGTTGCAACCGCAGCCATGTTGTAAGACACACCACCCCGACCGCACCCTGGTTATCCGTCTGGTTTCCCTTATCTCCGCTCTGTGCCGCAGCATCAGAGGTCCGGCGCCAGAGTTCCTGGAGGGTTCCCAGAGACAGACCCATCCTCCTCAGCCTTTGACGAAATATGACGGCTCTGTTGCGTGGCTTCCCTTCTGACTGATATCCCTCAACTCAGTGTCCTTCCTCCTCCCCCACCTCGCTACACCGTCCCTGTCGCCTATGCAGCTGGCGCATCAAACGGCATGGCAGTGCCTGTGGTAGAAACAAACAACATCATCAGCCATCCCGAGGGCGGCTGCTCTTTGCAGGTTGGAGAAGGTGCGTTTGCTCTACCGCACCCACAAAAGACATGCGATCAAGAGTCCACTGACACGAATTCCTGCGATAGGCACCTATCACCTCAAAGATAACCTCCACCTCGCAACCCCGCCGCCCCATCCCTCGGAAGCGCCTGTCGTGAACCCGAACCCTCTCGCGACCGGCGTGACCCCGCCAACCTCGGGTGTGAAACTCTCTTTAGTTCAAGTCAGCAACCAAAGCAAGGCGCCTACATACTCTTTGAACGGAAATGCCACAGCACCATTGTTTGGCGATGGGAACCCCGCGCTGGCCGCGCCGGTGGTTAAGGAAGGCCTCAAGAGGAGGAAACCAAAGAACAACATTGTTAAGAGCAGCTCGTCGTTTGTATCACGGGTAATTACCCATGAAGCGTTGACGAAACGCCTGAACGATCGCAACCCAGAAGGGTTTTTCGCATTCGCCAACATCAACCGCGCATTCCAGTGGTTGGATCTCAGTTCGAAGCAAAAAGAAGAGCCGCTGGCGAAAATTCTCTTCACAAAAGCGCACATTCTGAGCCACGATATCAACGAATTGACGAAGAGCGCATCGCACATCGATATCGTCATGGGTTCATCGGCTGGGGACATAATATGGTACGAGCCGATCTCACAGAAGTACGCGCGCATCAACAAGAACGGGGTTGTTGCCAGTTCCGCCGTAACTCATATTAAGTGGATTCCCGGGTCGGAGAATCTCTTCATGGCCGCCCACGCCAACGGCCAGTTGGTGGTCTATGATAAGGAGAAGGAGGATGCACTTTTCACACCCGAACTTAGCAGTCCCTCAGCTGAGATGCTGAAATCGTCGAGTCGGCAGCCATTGCAGATCCTGAAGTCGGTCAACTCCAGGAATCAGAAGACGAACCCGATCTCCTTGTGGAAAGTCGCCAATCAGAAGATCTCCCAGTTTGCGTTCTCTCCGGACCGCAGACACCTGGCCATTGTTCTGGAGGACGGGTCTTTGCGGGTGATGGACTACTTGCGAGAAGAGTATGCAGGCTATCCTTGGTACTGCCATTGTTTATAGACAGGCCGCTGACTGCTGCTAGGGTTCTTGACATTTTTCGCAGTTATTATGGTGGTCTAATTTGTGTTTGCTGGTCGCCGGACGGCAAATACATAGTGACCGGCGGCCAAGATGATCTGGTCACGATCTGGTCCTTACCAGAACGAAAGATCGTAGCCCGATGCCAAGGCCACAACTCATGGGTTTCTGCGGTAGCATTCGATCCCTGGCGCTGTGACGAGAGAAACTATCGATTCGGGAGTGTCGGTGATGATTGCCGGTTGTTACTGTGGGACTTCAGCGTGGGCATGCTCCACCGTCCCCGAGTGGTATGTTTCCATTCCGCACCCCCAGATGCACACCATCAGTCAAGCTTTTTGCATAAACTGACCATCCACCAGCACCAAGCGAACGCGCGCCAGCGGACAAGCATGGTCGTAACCAACACGCAACTCAACAACCGTCATCGCGCCGATAGTGCCGGCAACCGAGTCCGGTCCGACTCGCAACAGACCGCCGATACCTACAGCAGCTATGACCCGACCGTTCGCCATCCCGTCGAGCCTAGGGCGCGGACGGCGCTGTTGCCACCGATCATGGTGAGCTTTCTTTCCCCCTTCTCCTAACATCCCAGGCCGGCAGCTAAGAAAAACGTTACAGTCCAAGATCGTTGGAGAAGACCCGATCTGCTGGCTTGGGTTCCAAGAGAACTCTATCATGACATCCTCTCTTGAAGGTAGCCCCTCCCCAACCCTTCCCCAGCCCTCTCCGCAAACAAGATATCTCCTTCATCCGAATCGCGCGTTAACCCCCAACCCGCCGCAGGTCATATCCGCACCTGGGACCGTCCCCGCGAGGGCATCAACGAGAACTATTACGACCACACCTCATCCCCGGCTTTCAGCGCCAGTGCCGCGGCGTCGGGATCCGGTTCCGCCCTGGGAGACTCTGTCATGGGATCTCTTTGAGCGAGCAGCGTGAGCAAGAGAAACAAAAACCGGAGGCCATGCATCCCATTCGTATCCTTGATCTTTTGTAAATATCTGCATGATTTGTTTCTTTTCTTCATGAGATCTATACCCAAATGAAACTGCTAATTTCAAGTCACGTTGGATGTCTGTAACCCTTGTTGTTCCATAAATGAAGGGCTGCGCTATTAGACTGGTTTCACGAAGCTAAACAAGCCAAGAGCTGCAGTTCAAGTCTGTTGAAGCTCATCCCCCCTTGGCTTTAGGCCATTATCCAAGTCGCGGGAAAGGCAACTCCTTTGGTCCGTCTGAGATACTCTTTTTCTTAGCGATAAATCACCGCAAACGATTGAGTAAGTATAGAAGGGAGGAAATCAGTCCAAGTTGAACGAATAAATGAGGAGCTTAAAACTACACTACGGGGAACGATCACTACATTGGCAGGGGGTGTACGGAGTACGGAGTAGAAGGAATGTTAATGATTAGATAAAGTATCGACTATCAACCTCACAAAAAACCCCATCAACGGCAAGATTGCAAGCAAGGAGTCACAGACATCTTCATACATTGAAATGATAAAAAGATAACAGGGGGTTGTGCTTTCGTCAGTCAATCAACAGGTGGGATGGATCGGTCAATGGACAGGATAATGTACCGTAGTGCGTTACTCGTGTAGGTAGGAAGGGGAGGGGGAGAGGGAAGGGGAGGGATGATGGCAAAGGGTCAAAGGGCATGAAATCAGAGAGGGGAATTCTGGAGGAAATCAAATGGGTAGTATGATGAGCGTATGCAGTTGCAGATGAAAAGTAAACAGAAGTGCTGGTATGTTTTGGGGAAAAGGAGATGTGATGTAACCAATTCGAAGGCAGAAGCTGACAAGGTAAGCAAAGCAAAGCAATTTGTGTGTACCACTCATAGGGTTATTGGCGATAATATGAGCGAGTATATACAACCCTTACCCTGGATCAGATTCTAAAGGTAGAGTGGGAGAGGACTGGGTAGGTAGGACAGACGCCGGGGCCGAGCGATGGGAAAGCGTCAACTACTCGGAGGCGAAACGATGCGGGTGGTGGTTCGGTGCAGTAACAGCGGGATTGCATGGTGGAAGTCGCGACTTGAATGATGGATTGTGTCACTGTACCTTCTTTGGACTGGGGTCGTTTACAAGGCTCCGGCGAAGATGCTCATCACGAGGGCGCTGAGCACGGCGAGGGGACCGCTCAGGGTCATTGCGCTTGCGGCAGCTCCGGCGGAGGCAGTGGCGGAGGCAGCGGTCTTGGTGGCAGTAGTGGCAGATGCTGTGGCTGTTGTCAAAGTAACAAACAGATTGAATCCAGGTTAGATAACTTCGTCCATCTCATGTCCTGTCTGTACTCACCCGGTCTCACGGAGGCGGAGGGAATGGTGCTAGATGATGATGAAGATGGTGAAGAGGTCTTGTGATAGATGCAGGGGCGTGACTTATATCTGGTGCTGGTGTAGGTGCTGGAAGATAGTGGTGCATGTGCATGTGCTGATGATGATAGTGGTGATGATGGTGATGGTGATGATGTAGGTGTAGGTGATGTAGGTGTAGATTGTGATGTGTGTGATGGTGATGATGATGACGATGATAGTGTTGAAAAAGAAGTATCCTTACCCGTCTCAACTTTGCCAACCTTGGTCACGTTGAACTGATTCGACTGGCTCAAGATGCCAGTGTTCTGGGTGGTATTGGCAATAGCATTCAGTTGGTAGCCATTACTATCATCGACCTGGTCAGTCTGGCTGCACTTCCACCTTACGTCAAGGACACAACATACGCAACAGGAATCCCGGTGATCATGTCCACGGTATAGGCGCCATCGGAGACCTTGGCATTCTGGGTGATGACCTTGTTGACGGTAGGCTGGGAGGCCATGTTGACCAGGACCAGAGTGACCTCGTCCGGATCAGAACTGCTCGGCCTGTCAGTTTTATGCATGACGGGTCAATCTGGGAAAGGAAAACGCACGAAACTGTCGTCCATTGAAATTTGTACGACTTGCTGAAGTCGACCTGGTCCCCAGCCTTGGGCGCAACGATCGTGAGAGCTGGAGAGTCATGTCAGTCTCCGGGCCAGCAGAGATCGAGAATTGGGAGCCCTACCCAGAGCCGAAGCAGCAAAGGCGACAATGGCAAGAAGGAGGCTCAAAGAACGCATGGTGAAAGCGGTCAGAGGATATTAGAATTAGAAATGCAGAGGGGAAACTGCGCAGCAGATAATACAAGAATCGAATTTGGAGGGGGAAGCTATACACTGGCTTTGAAAGATGGATGGCAGTTTTCCTGGTCTGGGACACGACAGCTTTATAACTTCTTCTATGGAGTACACCACACAGACACACACACACACACTCACTCACTCACACACATACCACACCGCAACATCTAACGGTACAATTACCTTTCTATCCTCTCCACCCCTCCTACTATCCTGTCATCGTCCTTGTTTCTCCGTTCTCCTACCGGATTGACCGATCGGAAAGAAAAGATAAAGAAAACAGTACGAAGGAGAGAAGGAAGGACGCGGAAAGGGAAAAAAAAAAGTCAACGCCCTGTCTATTTTGGGGGATGTGGTTGTTGTTCACTTTCCGTTGTGCGCCCATGCGAGGGGGGCTTCCTGCAGGTGACTGGTCCGATTCCCTTCATCAAACCTACTTTCCCATGGAGACGCGTTCAGTTGCTGATTCTCGTGACAGTGGTCAGTGCCTAGTACCCAAGGGTTTCGAGAGGAGGTTGACAGGAGGTTGATAGGAGATTTCCTGCTTGCTTGCTATCTATCCGTTGAGCCAGGGAGTATCCCCTCTCTCCCTCTCCCCTCTCCTCGTGTGAACAGGGTACGCCTCCCCTCCCTTTGAGGGAAATGACGTTTCATCGCTTGTCCGCGATAACCTAAGGAACTCTTCCTTTCTTCCAGGGAAGGGCACCGTACGTGTCGCGTTTCAATGATGAAATCCGGATCTGGACTAAGGTTTCCCTCTTCCACTAGCCTTCTCAACCTACAGCAGCCGATGCATACATAGCGGCAACAGATGCATAATCTTAAAAGAACAACGCTTTGAATGCTTCCGATCGGTGCGATGCCTCTTCATTCAACGCCCTTGTAATAGTGCGCCCATTTCCTGCCAAGCCACTACTCGACCTAGAGAACCCTGTTGAACAATAATTGATTTGTCTGAAGGAGGAAGACCTTCATGTCACAATGACCTTTAGGGCGCCCTCGATTGAATTGAGGACAATTGAGTTACGCGACACCATAACGTTTTGCGAGCGTCAGACACTCTAGGCAGTTATTTTTCACTGCTCAGTGCCTGGTGGACAGTCGCCAAATCCTACGCATCAGATCATGCACTGCTGACCTGACAAGTCATATTAGACCCGAAAGTCAAGCATGTTGTGAGTACGCGAAATAAACCTTCCAATTAGTCTTCACCTGGGCGGATCATGGATCCCCAATTGCACGGAGCTTGACTTTGGAAGCTAGCAACAGACTCTGACCATCGACCAATCTATCGAATAGACTGTTTCCTAAACTAACGCGGAACTTCTGTGCCGACTGGTCAAGAGTACATCCTCCGTCGCAAGCACACGGGAAACCATTCCGGAGTAAATATTCCTGAAGGTTGTCGACGCTTGGATCCTGGGACGGTGCCTGGAAGTCAATTCGAAAGTTCATTATGCCAGGACCGTACCAGGCAGAGAACATAATCCCTCTTGGGCTCTGAGATCATGACGAATGTGTCGCACATCATCATCAGACACTGTTTCACTCTTGGTATGCATCACAACAAGCACATTGATTTACGGTATAGTGGATGCCCGCATCAACGGTTCCGTCACCGAACGGCATCGGAGCCAGCGTATCTTTTAAACATGACCGATGACTTCCTGTGACACGGAGATTTCAACCAGCTATCGACTTCTCAGCGACTGGCAACGAGGTCAGCCTAGGGATCTTCATCTGGTGCGATCTCTGGCCCAATGCTTCATCCGCATGTGCTTATCGGATGTGCATGTGGGCTAAGAACAGAGAGTCTTTATCCCCGAGAGCCACCTCTTTATAGTAGCTCAAATACCCAGTTGTCCCGACAATAACCTGTATTGGTCAGGTATACTTGCTTTGAATGAAGGCTTACGCAAGCTGAAGGACGTAATCTTTGTAACTCGTGGAGCTGATTTTCCAACGTGTGTCGACAAGACTCGCAGCCAGATCTTACCTAAACTTTGGCAACATTTTCATCTCCATTGCTATTTTTGTGCTCGCCTCTGATGTTCCAACGTCACTATACAATTTATGCTTTACAACAACTCGGGTATACACAACTGGACTTCTCACCAAGTCCTAACTAGTTGATCGCCATCGCATATGGACAACCACTATAATTAAATGCCCCACACGCCCAGCGGATCTGGGCCACCCGAGTTGCTCCGCTGTTGCTGCAGGGTCTTTACCCTTCGGACGAGCGTACCCACACAAATGGGACCAAGAAGGGTGCAGATCGAGATTGCCCAGACGACGACTAGATAAGTGTCTGAAGAAGCCCCAGTCGGTCCTTGACCGAAGATCCCCTTCGATTCGGCGAGAGACGCAATGAGATAGCCTATCTCCCCTCGCGCCACCATTGCCAGACCCAATAGTGACGATGGATACAGGGATTTGGGCTTTGGAGGAAGAGAGCTAGATGAGCTAGCACGTTCAGGCCCTGGATGATCTCTCGCAGTTGAGCTGGCGGAAGCTCCCTCGGAAGAGTTGTTGCCGTTTGACGCCGATGTAGCGCTACCGGCGACCTTATCTGTGGATTGATCTGGGGCCGCAGTGTTCGAATCCATCCAGCGTGCTTTCCCTCCCTTTGTCGTCTTTTGCTTCGCTTTTGCTACTTTCGCCTGCGGTGAACGGGCACAGACCAGTTTGACGTAGGAGAAGAAGGCTGTCAATGTCCGGACCAAGCTCGACACCGGCCCGAAGGTAAATCTGACCAGCCAGGTACCTGTCACGACTTTCCCGAAGAACATGAGAATGGCGTAGATAACCCCTCTCCAGACAATATCCCCCTTGAACATTTCCGTGATTGGGACAGCAAATCCGATCGAGGCCTAGCCTACATCAGTTGAGTCATAGTGAAATCGGGAACGAACACGACTTACAAAAAAGAGCGGAATTAGGATTCTCTTGGCTGGTTCCGCATAATACCTCTCGTAGACCAGTGAGCCAGTGGGAATTTCCGGGAAAGACGAGCTCATGACGCCGGATTGCGAGGTATTTCCTTGCTCATTTCGCTCGGAAGTCACACTTAGCTGGCTGGACGCACGCTCTAGGGAGGCGTTCTGAATCCTTGATTCATACCCAGTAGTGGACCAAGAACTATTGTGATGTTCTGCTGCCGAGCTTTGCTCGAAGAAGTCACTGATCCACGTCGCCGACACACCCGCAAGATATGCAGCAAACAAGCTGGACGTCCCTGCGTAGGTAGCACCTGCGACCAGCCCCACCAAGAGACACGTATAAGCCAGGAAAGCAAACTGAACTGTCTTCACAGCATTGGGGAAATTGTCCCGGTGCGAGAAGAGGGACCGCAGGGTAGGCTTTACACCGAACCGGCAAACAAGCACAACGCCCACACCGAAGGCGAGCGATACGAATATCGGCCGAATGACAGTCACCGCGCTGAACGAATCGCCGCCACCACCACCAATGTTCGTGATGATTTGGACCATCACCAGCCCCACGACATCGTCGAGCATCGCCGCACTCGTAGTTACAACACCCAGGCGTGTCTTGACAAGGTCCGTGGTGGAGAGAATAGTAAACGTGGTCCCCAGGCTGGTAGCGCTGAGGGCCGCTCCAGCAGCGAAGGCTTGCAATGCGGTTGCTGAGACCAGCTCCATGAGAATGAAGGAGAGAGCCATGGGGGTAGCGATCCCGGTCAACGCCACGGCGACCGAGAAGAAGAGGTTCGCTCGCAGCGAAGAAAGTGAGGTCGAGAGGCCTCCTTCATAGACCAGCAGAATCAAGCCCAGGTATCCGAACTGCTGGATCACGGTCTCCGTGTCGCTGCTGAGCCATTTTGCGCCGGGGGTACCCCAGAGGATGCCGATGAAGAGTTGGCCGATAAGCCCGCAGTAGAGCAGCTTGTCCAGGCAGACGTTAATCAGATTGAGGACTAGCAGGAAGCCGGATTGATTGAGAATGGTGTGAATTGAGGGCTCCTCGTAAGCGAATGCGGTTTCAGTAGAGCTCATGATGATAAAGGTACTATGCTGGATGATCAATCTTTATAATAAGAAAGACGTTCGGGAGGCCTATATGCCAGGCAGTGACTGTTTGCGGTGATTGGAAGTTGAGCTTTTGAGGTTAGAAGACTCCATCGATGAGCTTTTACTGTCCTTTGGTACAAAACAAAGTTGAGTCGCTTTAGAGCTTGTGATCTGATGTGTTTGCACGATTGGTGGTAACTATGTTAGTGATGATAATGATACCCAAACAGTTTCGAAACATGACGAAAGGCGGTGGGTGATTTCTGCCAAGGGTCCGGGGCTTGGCCATCCTTCCGCCTTCAATCCACCTTCAAGGTTCCGCTCTCCGCTTTCCGCTCTCCGCTTCCAGCTCTCCACTTTCCGCTTTCTCTAATCTATTCCCAGTTCATTTCAATACACTCGCCCTGGCTATTCTCACTGCGTCGTGGTCCATTGCCTAATACCAGGAGAGCACTCTTTCTAAACACTTCAGGTGATTCTGACTCGGCAGATCGCTGGTGTTCAAATGGAAAACCGAGACAATTTACCCATAAGAGCCAGCTCAACACATCTTGGGCGACACTAGGCGACGTCCAACTGCTGCACTTCGCTAACTTGACCCAACGAAGGCACAACAATGCTCCCAAGAATCAGTGCTTGCGATTAATCTCTTCCATTGGTCGCTCTTATCGTGCCTGTCAATGGCAGCGGCAATGTGTACAACATGAGCCTGATCCGTGCTCGGATGATCAATGACTACTTCAAGGTACCAAGCCACTGAAGGTTGGTCTATTAATGGGCCTATAGACTAGACTGTGAACTTAATTCTGATTAGGACAAAGAACCGAAGCTTTGTGTTCCTGAAAGTCTACGTACTCCAGGAATCAAGGGATGCCACAAACAAACAAAATATGCGTGCAATACTACATTCCAACGGCTACAATACGAGCCTAAGGAATCAAAAAGAACATGATCTGCACCAGGAATTCATTGTCCTATGCTAGGCCCGGCTTGGTAATGGGCTTGGAAAATTCTTGACAACTCGAGGCCGGTTAACACAGCGCAGCTCCATGTGCGACTGAGGTGATTGTTTACCCTCTGTGTTCTCTTGTCGCTGTGGTTGCCCTGGGCCAAGAGGTATGTGTCCCGCTTGCCTCACTCGATCGATGAGCATCGTATCAGGAAAGGTAGATTCTATGACGTGCTACCCCAGCCTGGCAACTACCACTATCCACTGATAGCCTTCTATTGAACGGTACCCTATCATAGTGGGGCGACCATATGGCCGCGAAGCTCAAATGTCTCGCTATCAAGGGACCCTTATTCAAGGGGGTCAGGAGCTGGAAAACACTGGGCAAGAGGCCATAAACAGAACTGAAGTACCAAGCTACTGTCTTGTTTGATTTATTTAAGATCCAGTTTCCCCTTGGGTTTGCACGAGCTCGATCCCTCGTTCTCTGTCAGAACGTCTTGTCCCCCTTCAGCTATAATTCCGACCCTTGTCTTTCATTTGTGTGGGGACTGGGGTAGTTCACGTTCAGACAGGTGTTGATCTTCTCGATATAGCGGTTGGTAATCGGAACAAGTCTTCGCCATGAAGGTCCAGACAGCGAACCTCATCTTGGGGTTTTGCGGCTCCATCATGGCCCTGCCCCTTCATGATGCGTTTGAGAAGCGAGCGTCCCCGTCACCGTCTTCAAGTCATGCTGTCCAGTGGTCCAGCTCTGCAGCAGTCTCGTCGGTCTCGGTACATGTCCCATCCAGCAGCTCTTCGTTGAAAATGCCGATTTCCGCGCCTAGCTCTGCGGCAAAAGAACTGGGTACCGCCAACTATCATGCACCAGCAATGGTCAACGGAGCTGCTGTCAACGGTTTCCCACCCACGACTGCTGCTGCGACCGCTGCGGGCGCTTCCACTACTTCCGCAAGCTCTGCGAGCACCAAACCGCCTACTTATCCGACTACCACGGCTGTCGGAGACCATCCTAGTGCTGGAGGTCAAAGCTCTGGCGGTTACAGCAGTCTATCTAGTCAAAGCCAGCCTATCCCCAACGGACAAACGGCTCTTGGAGGTCAGAACACTGGTCTTCCGAGCGCCACTTCTCCGAGCCAGCCGACTCACCCAGCCCCTGCTACGAGCACTGCCGCATACAGCGGAGCAAGTTCGGCGAGTCAGCCTACGCCTTTGGGTCAATCCTCAGGGTATGGCGCTTCAACTTCCTCCGACCAAGCGTTACCTTTTGGTCAGTTGAACCCCTTCGGACAATCCGAGGATGATGACCAATTGGCTCAATACGGACAACCTGTCCCGCAGAGTTCCAGCAGTGGATCTGTACCAGCCACCGGGAATTTTCCGGGTGTTCCAGTGACCCCTCAAGGATCGACTGCGAACTTCGGCGTATCTTCTGGAGCGCGCCCTCAGGGACAAACCTCTTCGCAGGGTTCTACCTCTAACACTGGAGCGTCTAGTGGCGTTCGGCCTCAGGGACAAACAGCGCAGCAAGGTTCCACTTCTAACACCGGCGCCTCTGCCGCAGGGCGTCCTCAGAGTTCCACGTCGAACAAAGGAGCATCTAGCGGTGCACGTCCCCAAGATAATTCTGCTCCAGTGGTTCCATCCAAAAACACCGGAACCAACAGCGCGTATCCTCGCGCACAACCCGGCTCCGAAGGATCAAGCGCGATGGCAGGAAAGCCTAGTGAAGGACGTCCTCAGGGCCAGTCTGCGAACACCGGAACATCCAAGAGCCAGTCCGCGAACACTGGAGCATCCAATGGCGCACGTCCCCAGGATCAATCTACTCGTCCTGGCTCGACCACCAGCAACGTCACGCCTAGCGGAACACGGCCCAAGGTTCAGTCCCCTAACACGGGAAGCGCAGCGATTCCTCAAAGTCAATATCTGGACCCAGGCTCAATTAGTTCCCAGCTCGCCGAGCAGTATGGTCTGGACGCTGATGACGAATTGCTTCCCCCGGGCTACAACCCTGTTGGAACAGCATCTGGTGACGAGGATGAGTCGACTCCCTCAAGCTACACGGGAGGGTTTCCTTCTCAGACCCAAGACGCTGCTCCGACTAGTGCCACTGAATCCAGCTCCAAGGGTCAGCCTGTAGCTTCAAGCTATGCTGGCACTGTGCCAAAGGATCAATCTGCAGCTGCTGGATACCTTGGAAATACTGCTCAAAGCCAGTCCTCCGGTTACGGCAGCTCTACTCCGCAAGGCCAGTCTTCTAGCTCTAGCTCTGGAATCTCTACACCTCAAGGTCAATCATCGGCTTACGGTAGCTCCGCTCCTAAAGGCCAATCTTCGGGATCCACTAGCTCAATCCCTCAGGGTCAGTCCTCAGGATACGGTAGCTCCATCCCTCAAGGCCAATCTTCGGGATCCACTAGCTCAATCCCTCAAGGTCAGTCCTCAGGATACGGTAGCTCCATCCCTCAAGGCCAATCTTCGGGATCCACTAGCTCAATCCCTCAAGGTCAGTCCTCAGGATACGGTAGCTCCATCCCTCAAGGCCAATCTTCGGGATCCACTAGCTCAATCCCTCAGGGTCAGTCATCTGGGTACGGAAGCGCATCTCCCCAAGGTCAGAGCTCAGCTCCTCAAGGCTATTCCAGCGGCGTCGGTCCGGGGGGCGATCCTGTCTACAACGGGCCTATGGCAGGCCCGGACACCCAGGGCCAGGCTAGCGGTGGTACTGGAAAGTCTTCCGCAGGTCAATCTAAGGGCACCGCATCACCATCTGGTCACACCACGAGCTCCGGCCAAACTCCTCAGGGTGATTCATCTGCTGCTGGATCTGGAAAATCTCAGCCTGGGCAGGCACAGACCCAAGGACAGGGGCAGGCCCAGGGTAAGAGTCAGACCAAGACACAGCAGCCAACTCAAGGATACGCTCAGGGCCAAGGTCAAGCACAGACCCAGGGACAAGGACAAAAGCCAAGTCAAGGTTCCGCCCAGAGCCAAGGCCAAGGAAAGGCACAGACCCAAGGACAGCAGACCCAAGGACAGGGACAGACTCACGGGTCCGCTCAGCAAGGACAAAACCCAGCTCAAGGTTATGCTCAGGGCCAAGGACAGACCCAGGGACAGGGACAGAAGCCCAGTCAGGGTTCCGCCCAGGGTCAAGGCCAAGGTCAGAGCCAGACTCAAGGACACTCTCAAGCCCAAGGGCAAGGACAAGGACAAGGACAAGGACACTGAGGCAACGGCGGAGCCTTCGAGAGGAATGTGGGAATCCTGGTTGAAATTTGTAAGCACTCTTGTACTTTCTTAGCAGCTTGGTCGCTGTACTAACATTCTATATTTAATCAGATCATAATACGTAATGGAATTAATAAGCCCCTAATTAATTGAATTGAACTGTCAGTGTTATCTTGAAAGCGCCAGAATCTTGTAAACACTCCTGTAAACAAGACTTAGGTTCCAAAGCTAATCAACCGGGAATCTTCTGACGCAAGGGAGGGGGGAAACTGACCCTTGGACAGATTCCTCCGGCGTATATAGCGTACTCGTCGCTAACGACATATGCACGATTTTCCCTCCTCGGCAGCGTGCAGTGGGATGAAACAACCGTGCGGGCTTGCTTGCGATAACAAGCACACTAACTCTCAAGGCTCCCGGAGAGTTCATGCCGGTCATCGTTCATCGTTACAGATACGGAACTTATCTTGAGGAGTGCTAGTGAGCCTGTCTGTCAGTTAGTGATCGGACATAGCAGCCTTGCAATCCTTACTATACGTATACATCTCGCTGCGTTCTTACTTTGGTAAATATAGTACAATGCTTTCTTGTACAGGTCCTGCTCCAATTAGCATGTATCGTAGTGTAGCTGTCGTTCATGAAACTGTCAATCGTGTCACGTTTGAACCGCTTGGGGAAAATCAGAGCATTTTACAGTACTGTGTCCTTAAAGTATATACTACCAAGATGTCTATTACAAAGTGACCCGATATAAATCTCGAGATGTACAAATCATTCTGTAGGCACTCAACTGCCTAATTAGATAAACTACGTAACTGTTGCCCCAAACTATCCAAGACATATAGTACAGGACCAGCCACATTCAGAACCAATCCACAACCGCATCCCCTCGTATGCTTACTCCTCCCATCCCGATATCTCCATCTAGTAGTATTCAGCCCAGTAAAACATACACAGCACAGACCAACCCCCCGCGAAACACGGATCAAACAAGATACGGTAGTGAGGCATTTACCGCCTCCAATCCATCTCCACACACACACACACACACACATACACGACACACGCACCCATCCATCATCGACTCACATCCGGCCTGCATACCACATCCATCCATGCATAAGCCCTTCTTTTCCTCCTCTGTCTTTGGGTGTATGACCCAACCCGCCAGTTCCATCCCCCTTCGCCCCCCCCTCTAAATGCAAGGGGCCACCAACAAGCTTTAGTGGTATAAGGCTTCTCGTGACTTGGCTTTCTGTTTTGTTTCTGAGGGTGCGGAGTAAGTTTCGTGGACTACGGTAGAGCAAACTAAACCGATATGCCGACAGAACCCTAGGTGGATCGGCAACTGCGCTGGCCCGAGTTGTGCTTGTGTCCGAGTCAATTGCTTGTTTCGTTGGGGAGATAGATGGTGACAGGGTTTTGCTCTGCTCTGCTCTGCTCTGCTCGTCCACTTGAGGCTATTGATCGAGCAAGTATAGAGGTTAATGTAGGGTAGGCTACGGTGTGTGCTGTATATGAATAGTGCACAGGGACATAAGTATATACATACACTCCCATTCACACCACAGCAAATCAACCGACTCGACCCAACAATACTGGAACTCTGGAGTCAGGAGCAGAAGCCGACTTACCAGTACTTACTGTACACTATCTAGCCAACCCAGCCCGTACCTACCGTATGCACCCCTCCCACATCACAATCACAGGAGATAGGTATCAGAACCGAACATCTAGATTGGTGAGCTGTTCCCAATAAGGAACACACAGTATCCCTCCGCCCTCCATCCCCCCAAAGAGGAAACAGGTCTGTATACCCTGACTAAAATATCTTCCTCGGTCCAGCCACACAGTACACGGGAATACTGTTCACCATCTTCAACCCTCCCGCGCGATCATGATTTCAACCGAGCGATGACATCCTGTATCCCAGACGGCCATGGCCGCGACGTCACACAAATCGAAGCGACGGTGTAACAAGAGCGGGCATCACCAACAAATGCAACATCTCGAGCAAGAACAGCCGGCTATTCGGCAAGGTCGGTCATTGGTTGGGTTCTTAACAGGTCAATGAGGGATGGAGGGATGGATGGATGGATGGATGGATGGATGAAGCTCTACTGTACAGTACAGATGGCATACGCATACCTCCTGTGAAGTTACTGCAAGCTGCATAATGCACTAATACACCGCTGCTCTGAGCTTTGGAGGGTACCTCATTCCCTGTGAGGCTCACCGCTACGTTCTGCGTTCTGCGGTTCTGCGGAGTCCAACCCGGTGGAGTCGAGCTTATACACGGTTTGCATCGGGACGAGGGGCAGGTGATCTCATACTCGGAACGGGTTTTCCTTTGTGGCCAGTGTGCCAGTAAACAGGTCTATTGGTTAGATATGATATCTATATGACTAGTATGTACGTTATGTAATGTAAAAATGAAAAAGCCACAGACAGACTGTGAAACTGTCGCCGCTGACAGAGTCTATAAACTCAAGAGAACACACGGACGTAAAATCCAAAAAAGTAAATCTTTAGATCAATTGATGCTATAGTTTAGTGTCACTCGCGGACTGGGCTAATCGAACAATAAGAATCAGGCATTTATCATCATCTCTCATCAAGGTCATGAAGACGTTGGTGGTCGTCACTCAGACGGTGTGGAGGTGGTGGTAAGGTGCTGCTAGCAGACCACAAGGACTATCGGTAATTGAACCCCTACTGCACCCAGGGTTGCACGAAGAAGTTGGCCTCCGTGTTGTTCTCGTCCATCGAGGTCGCGCTGGAATCGTACAGCCCCACGGGCCACATCGAATCCGTTGCAGACGTTGTCATAGGCATGCTAGCCGTCGGGGTGGTCATGGGTTTGTACGCTTCAGGAGTCGACATGGCAACAAAGGCATCTTGCGAGGGGAGAGGTTTGGACTCCATCCCCATGTTCGCCTGGAGCTGATGCTCGAGCGCGGCGGTGGATTCGTTGGCCGACTTGAGGAAGTCGTCGATGTCGATCGACTCGAGATTGTTGGATGACAGAAGCTGAGCTTGGGGAAGACCGATGAATGACGACGCCGAGCTGATCCGATACTGGTCAATGTCCGAGCCCTCGCTCACACTGGTCAAATCGTGGAGGTCACTGCCCGTACGGTTGAGGCCGGAGAGAGGGGCAAAGTCGTCCACTTCCGAGATGTCTCCAGATGAAGAAGGGGCCGGAAAGCCAGGGCCCATCGCATTGTAGTCAAAGCTTGCGTAGGAGGGAGCTTGCGTGCTGGCCGCGGCCGGGACGTCCGAATACAGGGGAAAGCTCGACCAGTCCACAGGGGGAGCGCTGAATCCAACGGGCATGTCGCTGTCCGGCGAGGTAAAGTAGGCCTCCTTATAAGGATCTTGGAAGGCCATGCAATTGACAGGGGACGTGGCTGTGGTTGGGAAAGTAGAATATGACGAGACATCAAGAGGCAAGCCGCTGGTCACCAGCTGATCCAGGGGAGTCTTCGCCATAGGCATGGTGGAGACCGGTCCGGAGACACTAATGTCGCTGGGCTTCTCCATAGTCTGGGGTGGTGGGAAAAACGACGAGAGGTCGAGTGGGGGAACAGCCGTCGGAGCAGCGTTCGGCGGCACGACGGGGGCACTCTCCGGAGAACCATGTTCGGACTTAACCCGGCGATGGAGTCGGTGGCTGGTCAACTGCTCGGGGGGCTGCTGGTTCGCCAGACATTCGTTAAGCAAGGTCTGCTGGGCCAGAGGAAGGTGGTCAACCGAGCGGCGAGCCACGTCGCACGTCGAATGAATGGTGTGGGAACGAGGTATCGTGTAGGGCAGACCACACTTGTGAGCCATGTCATTATGCTTGTGAGCCGGCTTGTGGTGACCATCCCGGAAAACGGTGAGAGTGCTCTCCGATTTGGTAGACGTCAGCTGGGGCTTCTTGGGCTGATCTAACAAAGCCGTGGCTGGCGGCGGCGGAAGGCCGGTTTCCGGGACGGTATCCAGGTGGGGTTCCTTTTTCAGCGCGCAAGTACAGCGCTGTCCATGAGTGCAGCCACATCTCGGACGGGAGTCCTCTGTAAAATCCATATCAGAAAACAATGAACCGATCGACCAACACCATCATGCTCACGCTTGAGATCCCGCTTATCCGCAGCATGGGGATCTGTGTCATTCTTGTGGCTGTGCTTTTTCTTATCACCACACTCGCACTTGGTGTGGGTTGTCCGTGACTTGCGTAGGCCGCGACAGTGAGCGCATTGGGAGACTGGGCGGCCTTTTTTGTTGATGTGGGTCAAGGGGCGGTCTGCAGCAGCCAGGTTAGCGAACAACGCGATCGCAGGACTCGACACGGAGGACCTCCGCATGGACCACCTACCACTGTGGTGACAGCTGCTGACCCGGTGACCCCGGACGCAAGCTTCACAAGCCCACTTCTCGCCATCGATAAGCATCGCCGCGGTTACTGGGTGAGGAACATGCGATGATTCGCGACAAGAGGTAGTATAGAATCGGGTGTGTAATTGAGAGCGGGGGAAGAGAAGTCTCGCGCCTCTCTTCCTTTTTTGAGTTTGTTTATGATATATGATATAAGCCGAACAGGAAGACCTGTCGGGGGAGAAGGAAAAGGGCCGTCAAGGCGAGAATTCGAGGTATAGGTATGTGGTCCGTCGTGAAGATCGGACCAACAGAAACCAAGGAAAACTCCAACAAAGCAGGGGTATCTCTCCGGGGAATATCCCAAATTGTATCAGACCGAGTCACAGAAACGCCGATTTTCACCTGTCAAAGGGGTTGAATCGCAACTGAGGTTTCAACGTCGATACAGACTACCGGTGCTTTCAATTGCCAATGGGCGCAATGTGCGACAGAGTAGCGGTAGTGAGTTTCGTCTTTCTTTTTCTTCTGCACAGCGCAACACTCAGGTGCTGGAATAGGCAGTAAGGTAGTTGATTCCGTAGCGAGAAAGATATCTTCTTAAACGAGGCACAAACATAGAACCACAACGGGTGGGCAAGAAGAGAAGCGGGAAAATCTCAATGAGGGAGAAGAGAAGAGGATTGAGGGAAGAGAGGGGGGCCAAAGCCTACGCACCGTTTGGCGCCGGCCGTGAGACAGGACACCAAAATCCGGCTGTGGCGGCCAAGATAAAGGGAAAAGCGATCGATCTGAAGGCAG